GACCTCAGCTTTCTTGTCTTTAAGATGGGGCTGGCAACAGCCCCCTAGAGCTTTGGGTATGGTTTCTGGCATACAGTGCATGCTCGGTCCATGCCCGTCTCTTTAACCAGCTTCGTCTGCTGTGCTCACCGCTCCTCCCTCTCACCCGCAAGCCTGGCTGCCCCGTATGCTCTCCATCTCACAGCCTGCCCGGCGGGGACATGGGCTGTTCTGCTCACTGAGGTGTCAGGAGAGGGTGGGAGAAGCATCTCGCCAATGCTGCTGCGGGAATGGCACGCGCTATGGACCAGGCAGAAGGGTTTGGCTCTTGGGCTTTTCTGTGGCTAGTGAGTGGCTTCGGACAAGTTACTTCACTTCCCATAGCTGTGTTCTCATTTATGAAATGGAGCTCACAGGCCTGCCCTGCTGGAATGGCTCACAGAGTCATTGGTCATGCACAGAATGGGCACAGACTGGCCTCCACTGGTGGCAGATGCTGGATCTGTCCCTGAGACCTGATCTGCGAAGGTGCTGAGGGCAGGTGCTGTCCCTATGGGGCTCTCTGCTTCCCTCTCCTTTGCCAGAACACTCAGAGCTGACAGCTCCCTCTGCCTCAGCCAAAAGTCACTGGCCCCGCCTGCCTCCAGAGCTGCTTTCCCGAGAGGCTAGGACAGCTGGTCCATGGCCCGCAGACTCCTGTGTCCTTGGCCCAGGGGCATAGAGGGTCAAGGGAGGGACATTTGTTGGCACCCAGAACTCTCTGAGATAGCAGTAAAGGAGTCCAGTGGGTCATAGAGAGGAAACTGTAAACCCCAAATCTCCAAGGGGCACTAACTGTGATCACAGGTGGGACTAGCTTATGCCTGACGCCCAGCCATTGCCTAGCACTAGGCCGCTATTCAGATACCAGAATGTGTCAGACGAACTTTCCTGAAGGCCCTGTGAAAACAGCAGGCCCCTGGCTCCTGGCAGCTCTGGCTGCCTCTGTGCCCAGCAGCGATGTGTCCTGAGCTCAGGGCGGGGCCTCACGAGTCTCCTCCTGCCCTTCCGACCGACAGGTGACCGTGCAGTACGTTCAGAACAACGGCGCAGTCATCCCCGTGCGCGTCCACACCATCGTCATCTCGGTGCAGCACAATGAGGACATCACGCTGGAGGACATGCGCAAGGCCCTGCAGGAGCAGGTGATCCGGGCCGTGGTGCCCGCCAAGTACCTGGACGAAGACACCATCTACCACCTGCAGCCCAGCGGGCGCTTTGTCATTGGCGGTCCCCAGGTGCGCCCCGGTCTCCGGAGGAGGCCCTGGTTTGTCTGTGACTGGGGACAGGCTGTGGGGGGCTGTGTGGCTCAGCCAGGTCTGGCCTTGGAGGACTGTGAAGTCAGCTCCCTCTCTGCGAGGCTTGCTGTGTACCTGACAGTACCTGAGCGACCAGGATGTGTCCCCAGGATTCCTCCACCTGTTCGGCCTGGCCCTCCGGCTCAGACAGCCCGTTCTTCTTTGTTGTTGTTAATCCTCACCCGAGGATATTTTCCCACTGATTTTCAGAGAGAGAGAGAGAGAGAGAGAGAGAGAGAGAGAGAGAGAGGAAGGGAGGGGGAGAGACAGAGAGAGAAATGTCTATGTGAGACACATTGACAGTTGCCTCATTGCCTCCTCCATGTACCCTGCCCAGGGCTGGGGATCGAGCCTTGCAACCAAGGTGCGTACCCCTGACTGAATCGAACCTGAGACCCTCCAGTCTGAGGGTCGATGCTCTACCCACTGAGCCAAACTGGCTAAGGCCAGACAGCCCATTTCTTGATGCCATGCCTGCCCAAGTGGCTGCTGCCTCACCTGCTAATGTGCTAACTCGCATCGCAAATGCCTGACCTTTACCAGGTGGCACTCACGGGTCTTTGCCACAGGCTCCCTTCAACTCCTGTGGGCACCACGGAGGGAGTTTACTATGCGGACCCTTGCTGCTCCCTCTCTCCTGCCCCCCGGGATTGGCATAGCCTCTGTGCGAGGCTGCCGGCCGCTGTCGGGGCCGCAGCTGTGGCTGTGCTGCCACCGAGCAGGAGCCCCTAACGGGCCCTGTGACCAGCCGAAGGGCAGGAGCACGGCCGGAAGGAAGGCCACGCCGCTTGTGTTTTCTTGCAGGACCTCTCCGAGGCTAGAAATATGAGTGTGAGCGTGACCTCTAACCGGGGAACAGCAGGCACTTTTCTCAGATCATTTAACACAGAGCCCTGGCGTCCTTTCTGTCTGGTGTGGCACAGAGCAGACCCTGAGGAAACTGGCGCCATGGCATTTGCGGGGTGGCACCAGCGAGGGGCTGGCCCAGGGCGTGTGGAGTACAGGGCAGTGGCCTTCTGCAGTTGGATTTCTCCCCCAGGATTGGCTCCTAAAGTGGAGGCAGTGGGGGCTGCCTGCAATCCCAGCCGGCTCATGGTTTGCACGTTCTTATGAGGCTCTGAGGGCTTTCTGACTTCCAGCTGGTCAGTGACAGGTCTGAGCTTGAGCCTGGGTGTCTGGTTGACGACGCCAAGCTAAGGAGTCTTTGAAACATGCCCCTGTCCACTGCAGGGCACTCTTTCCCAGTGGTGGTTCTGGCCATCACAGGGTCGCTTCCCAGGCCCTGGGGCTCGGCCCTCATCTCCCTGTCTCCCCCTCTCCCTCCGCAGGGGGACGCGGGCGTCACCGGCCGGAAGATCATCGTGGACACGTACGGCGGCTGGGGGGCGCACGGTGGCGGGGCCTTCTCCGGGAAGGACTACACCAAGGTGGACCGCTCGGCGGCTTACGCTGCCCGCTGGGTGGCCAAGTCCCTGGTGAAGGCAGGGCTGTGCCGGAGAGTGCTCGTGCAGGTGGGTCCCCACTGCCCGAGGCCCCAGCTCTGACCACAGAATGTGGCTCTGGGGGTCGGGTGGGGCACTGTGGCCCAGGGCAGAAGCCTGGAAGCCCAGGGAGAGGACAGAGCCTCGGGGGGGAGGGCTGTGTACAGAGGCCGGCAGGGCTTCTGCGCAGACAGTGGTGCGGGGAGCATGTGGGGTGAGCGGAGTGTGGGGCGTGGTTCCAGCTGCCCTTCCTGAGCACATGGGGTTTCTGTGGGGTCAGGGCCCTCCCCCAGGCTTTGGTGCCTGACCCTCATCTCCCCCCAAAGGTTTCCTATGCCATCGGTGTGGCCGCGCCGCTGTCCATTTCCATCTTTACCTATGGAACCTCGCAGAAGACGGAGAGAGAGCTGCTGGACATTGTGAATAAGAACTTCGACCTCCGGCCTGGCGTCATTGTCCGGTAAGTCTGCCGCCCTGTGCTCCCGGGCGGGACAGCTCAGCTCAGCTCAGCTCAGCTCAGCGGGCGGGGAGGCAGGAAGGATGTGCAGCCCCAGCAGCAGGGGGCCTTCGAGCCCTGGGCCCGCACATGCACACCCAGGCATCTGGTGGTCAGGTTGATGGGCCCTGGGGGCTCAGCGGACACCACCTCCAGGTGGGAGGCCTCAGGAAAGTAGGAGGCTGAATGGCTAAGGATTCAGCAGCAAGTCCAGTCTTGTCTGTTCTCACTTCTAATGCCACCCCTGCTTTCTAGCGCGTGCTAGTCTGGGCCAGGTCAGTGGCATGCGGAGGAGAAAGGCTCTATGGGGCTAGATGCACTCCTGGCCCCTGATGGGGGTTCCCTGAGCCTGCTTCCCAGGGGCCAGTGACAGTGAGGGCCACCCCACAGACCTGGTGTAGTGTAGACAGGACATTTAGGGGACTGGCCTGAGTGGTGACACTCCACACAGAGACTGGCTAGGCTGCTGCTCCTGCACGTGAAGTTCGGAGACTGTTGCCTTGCCATTGAAATGACCCTTCCTTCTGCGGGCCTCGCAGGGACCTGGATTTGAAGAAGGCCATCTACCAGAAGACTGCGTGCTACGGCCACTTTGGAAGAAGCGAGTTCCCGTGGGAGGTTCCCAAGAAGCTGGTGTTTTAGAGCCGGGAGCTGGCCTGGCCCCCGAGGCATCTGGGTGGTCGTGTCCCTCTGTTCCAGGACCCCGGCTCCCTGGTCTCCCAGACCGAAGCTGCCGCATGTGGCCAGGAGGGTGCCTTCCCCCACGCTCCCTCCTGGCCCTCGGACTGAGCCCTGTCCATCATCGTCACCACGAATGGCAGGAAGCAAGCAGCTTCCTGGTGCTGAGGGTCCGCTCTCCTCGTGAGGACAGTCATGGGGCTCCCCTACCTCTCCCTCAGACCAAGGCGATGCTCATTTAGTAGAAAAACCATCCCTCCAGGAGTTAATCCCCGCCCTTCCCCCTTCTCCCTCCCACCAAGCCCAGGCCCTGACCGGCTCCCGCTCCCCATGAGCCAAGGTCAGCACATCTCCCTGATCTCCGGCCAGCACCCCGAGCCAGGGTCCCCCAGCCCCTGGCCAGGCTGTGGCAGGCATAGAAGCAGGGCTGACATGGTCTGAGCTAACCACTGGTGCCATCTCTTCCTCAGTCCATGGGCTGGGAAACACCTTCGCCGCCCTATTTATAAGGGGGAGATGACACACAGACCATCCAGGGAGCTCTCACACTGTCGGTCCCACAGCCAGCATCAGGGCCTCAGCACGGCCCAGAAGCTCTGGCTCAGGAGCCTGGATCCCACCCCCAAGCTAGTTCCAGAGCCAGGTCTGAGCCACGGAGACTCAAAAGTGCAGTGAGGCTGGGCCTCTGGCCTACTGACTCAAGGTTGCTGGGAATCAGGGGATCAGCCACTGGCTCCTGGGGAGCCCTGGGCAACCTGCAAAGTCAGGGCAGAAGCAAAGCGGTTCCATTTGCCGCATTGGCACCAGGAGACGGTTCAGGGTGAGTTGGCTGGGCTGGAGGCTGGAGTTAGGAGGCAACCGTATAACCCAGCCCCTGCTGCTCAGGCTCAGGCTCAGGCTGGGCGGTGTGGGCCTCGGGTCAGTGGCTCGAGTCCAGTCCAGTCCCATGTCCCACATGTCTAATGTTCAGTGTGACCTCGGGGGCGGGGTTTGAATCCCAGGGGTAGACAAGTTGGCCAAGATGTTACAGGAGATTTCGTGTTGCCAGGTGGCTTCTGGGGTGGCAGGTCCACTCCCGAAGAACCCAAGGCATTCCTTAGAAGCTATCTGCTCACCTGCCTCTCCATCCATGGCCGGTACCACCCACCCACCTGTCCTCAGCCTGGGCCTCTGGTACCCCTCTCCCCCACCTGTCCTCAGCCTGGGCCTCTGGCACCATCCACCCACCTGACCTCAGCCTGGGCCTCTACCTTCATCCCAGCTGCCAGACCACAGGCTCAGGGAGAGCCTCCATTGGCCCATGGGCACTGGGATCCAGGCTCCTTCCGGGGCACACGGAGCCGGCTCTGACGGGGCAGCAGCCAGATGCCTCACCTGGCACGGACAGCCTGCTCCTGGGCTCTGGGCCTGGCCCAAGGCCCCAGGGCTGCTCTCTCCACAGGAAAAGGATGCCCCAGGGCAGAAGCAGAGCCCCAGTTACCACCAACCCCAGAGTAGGTGCTGCTCAGGAGAGGCAGGAGAGGGAGGCACTGTCTGCAGGAAGTGGAAAAGCAAGATCTTCCTTTTCTCTGTTGTTCATACAGAGCCTGTAGGCTCCTGCTGGGCCGTGAATAAAGACCAGTAGAGCAACTCTACGCTTAGTTGTTTTGTCTGCAAAGCCTCCGCAACCTCCCCTCGAGTGGAGTCACCTGGTTTCCCCGTGGCTCAGCAAAGTGGGAGTCCCCCACCTGGGCATTCCTCCAAACCGGAGCCTGCAGTTCTTGGGCACGTGGCACCCGTCCAGTCGGGATTGTCATTTCCTCATCCACCAGCTACTGCGCTGTCACTGCACTGCCATTGTCATTCCATACCACAGGCCACCCAGGCACACAGCCGCAGATACCCACGTGCCATGGGGAGAACCTGAGGCCCAAGGAGGGTTGGGAATGTGCCCCAGGGCACCTGGCTGCCAAGCGGCTCCTCCGTCTCAGAGCGTGCACTTGACCATCGGGCATTGGTGCCATAGGCTCGGTCCGTTTCATCCTTCTGCCCGCCTGCATTGTGTACACAGCCTGGTGCTGGGGGTGGGGTGAGGGCTGTATTTGTCTGATGACTGGATGCGCAGAGTGGATGTAGGGCTTGGCCTGCAGAGAGATGAGCCTTTCAATGGTGCTCACTTCCCTGTCACACACTCTGTGAGGAGGATGGGCAGGCAGTAGAGACTGTCACCGCAGCAGCCTCCGGGTGTGGTTCTGAGGTCAGCACGGAGCAGTGCGGAGGTGGAACCTGTTTCTTACCAGCGCACGGTGGGAGGAGGCAGCTCTGGAGAAGCGCCACAGCCCAGGCTGAGGCAAAGCCTGGTGAGGAGGCTTTGGTGAGACCCTGACCTGAGACAGGCTGGCCCAGAGTACCAGGAAAGGCAGGGGTACAGAAATATGACAGAGACGAGGAGAAAACCACCGCCAGGCGGGTCCATGCTGTGCCCTGAGAAGCCACTGTGTGAGCCACTCAGTGAAATGTTTTTCCTAGGAAATAACACATGTTTCTCAAGCACATCTATGAACAGAAACACTCAGAACACATAGAAATTCTTGCCTGTGGGGAACATGGTAAACGAATGGGGGGCTTAGTGGGCATAAAGGCCAAATAATTGGTGGGACCTGCTGACCAACCTCTCGGTCCCTCCCCACTTTTCTCCCCCTTCACCCAGCCAGCAGGCTCTGATTGCCCAATGGTGAATGGGGAACTGAGGACGGGTGGCGGTGGGGGCGAGGCTGGCTGCTGGCAATGGGGGAAGATGGCCCTGATCTCAGGGCCTAGGGACGGTACCTGCTCATGAATTTCATGTGCCAGGCCTCTAGAATCTACTATAAACAACTAGAAGATAAATTTTAAAAATATCATCTATGCCAAAACTGGTTTGACTCAGTCGGCCTGTGGATTGAAGGGTTCCAGGTTCAATTCTAGTCAAGGGAGTGTACCTTGGTTGCTGGTACATCCCCAGGAGGGGGTGTGCATGAAGCAGCTGGTAGATGTTTTTCCTCTCATCAAGGTTTCTAACTCTCTATCCCTCTCCTTTCCTCTCTGTAAAAAATCAATAAAATATATTTTTTAAAAATGTATCATCTATTATGTCAAAGGCTGTGATTCTGTAGGGAAGTTAGTGCTTGTTTGTTTATACCTGCTGGCCCACAGGACTAGAAATTCTTGAGCTCTGGCCTTATCTGCTTTGTTGGCCATCTCATACCTGTCCTGGCACAGTAGGTGCTCAATGTAGGACAGTGGTCATATCAGGGAATGAATTATAAGTGTGTGTGACTCTCCTGCCCCCGAGCTGCCCTTATAATTATAAGTCCTGCAGGAGATGAGGGTCCCACTCATCCTCTGCTGGGTTTTGTGCCAGGCTCAGGAGCCCAGAGATGTAAATTACAGTCATTCAAAGAGATGTCTTTTAAAGCTCTGACTATTGAGGATTTAGACACATTTTAATGGTTTATCACTGCAAGTGAACATGGGATGGCAATGCGATGACAAATCCCATCTCCCACAGAGGTGCCAGAGGAGGGTGACATGGGGTGGTGGAGGGACTCAGGAGGCATGTGCCAAGGATGGGGAGGTGGGAGCTTGGCTTGAGGGGTATTTTGGAGTTGGTAGCGGATGGAGGAGTAGGGGAAGAGAGGAGACTCTGGGTGAAAGGATTGCAGGCTCAGCAGTGGTTGGGTTGAAAGGATTGGGGTGGGAACTTCAGAAGAAATCTTCACCTGTGCAAAACCAGTGGAGAGGGTGTGACCCAGGCACAGTGTAGGAAGCAGGAGGACACAATAGCCAAGACATGGAAACAACCCAAGGGTTTGTCAGTGGATGAATGGACAAAGAAGATGTTGCATTGGGATATCATTCAGCGGTGAGAAGGAAAATCCTGCTATTTGTAACACCTTGAATGAGCCTTTAGGGTATTATACTACATAAAATATCAGACAAAGCAAGACAAATACTGTATGACTTCACTTCTTGTGGAATCTACAAAAGCTGAACAATTGAGTGGTGGTGACCAGGGCTGGGGGTGGGAGAAATGAGATGTTGGTGCTGGGAAATTTCCCAGGGTGCACTGGCCCTGACCTCTGAAGGAGGGCGGGGCTGAGAGGTCAAAGAGGCTGACAACTTCAGAATTAAACAGTTACTAAGGGACGTAGGACAGAAGCAGAGTCTTGGGCAGTAGCTAGCCGGTGGATCTCCACACCTGGGAGGAAAAGGGGCTTGTCACAGAGCCTTCTTCCCAGAGAGTCTGGGGCAGTTGTGGTAGATATAGAGGGTCTACCAGCTGCTGCCTGGTACCTGGCAGGGGCTCAGGAAGGGACAGGGTTCCCATTAGGCTTCTCCGGGTACAGAGCTCTGAACCAGCTTCTGAGGACAAATAGGGACGATAAGCCAGAAGGGCCCTGGGCTCAGGGCAGAGACTGTATCTACCAGACTTGTCATGGGTGAGCAGGGAAAGCGGGGGAGGATACAGAGGGGGAGGTAGAGGTGAAGCTGGGTCCCCTATCTTATCACAGCACCTGACACCAAGGAGCCCTCAGGGGTGAGGCGTGACATTGGCTGGAGCAATATGTGGCTGCCGTTTTTCATCTGGACACCAGAGGGCAGAGCTGACTCACACGTTCCCTGTGGGAGAGAGGAGGGGCTCCCTCCTGAGAGGTCTGGGTGTTCCTTGGGGATCAGCCCCAGGGCTCAGGGACCTCCCTCCCTCACCAAGGATACAAGAGGCCATTCAGAGTTCCTGAGAGGTCAGGACTCCTTCCCCCACATTCCATTTTCCCAGAACAGGCCAGTCCAGTTACAATTGCTCACCAGTTTGACTAGATTTCTCAGGGCTGTGGTGACCGGTGCCCCTCTTGTCCTAGGATTGCTCCCTCCTTCTCTGCTAGAAAAGGACTTTCTCAGGGGGAAAGGATCATGCACATGAAGGTTATCCCATCAATGCTTGTAACCACCGTCCCCCAGCTAGGAGCTGTTCTCATGCCCATTTTACAGATGTAAAAACTGAGGCCCATTGTAGAGTCATTGTTACCAATGAGGAGCAGAGCCCCAGCTGAGCAGAGTAGACCTCGGCATGCGTGTGAATTCTCTGTGTGCTCCCTCCCTGGCCTGCCTTGCTGTAATAATGGCTGGTGCCCTTAACGGGAGAGGGGAGGGTGGCTGGGCAGCTCTGAGGTGGGGAGGAGAGGCTGGCATCAGGCTCCAGAGGTCACACCCCAGGGCGCATGTCCTGTTCTAGGGCCTTTGCACACTCTTTTCTGCCGGCGAAGCTGTATGCTCTCTCCAAACAGTTGCCTGCCCCTCGTCGTGCAGGTCTGGGCTGAACTGTCTCCTATTCTGGGGGTGCGCCTTCCCAGCCAGCCTTCCTGAAATCGGTCCCTTCCTTGCACATTCCGCTGCTCCCCGGGCGAGGCCTGCCTGGTGCCCCGCCTGCCTGTTCAGTACCACCACCTCCGGCCACCCGGGCAAGGGGGGCACTTGAGATACCTCTCCCCAAACTGAGACGTGCTGCTAATGCGAACATACCTATTTTGAAGATCCAGTAGGAAAAAAAGTGAATGAGAAATATGTAACAAATAGTGCTTTATATTAATTACATACTACTAATAAAATAATATTTTTAAAAATCATTAAAATAAATGTCACCGTTTTTAAACTTTTATGTTAAGGTGGATACCAGGAACCTTTAAATCAGATGCATGGCTTGTATTTGATCTCTGCTGGTGCTGCCCTGGACTCACTGCTGCCTGTGGAGGGCCAGTGGTCCGGGACCCCGGGAGGGAGCAGGGCGAGTGCTGGGACGGCCTTCCCTGCCCCAGTCTTGAGCCACTTTAAACAGACGGCTCCAGAGACCTTCCTCTCCTCTTGGATGGTCGGGTCTTTTCGAAAATGAAACCCAGGCCATAGCCAATATTGGGCCCCAAATCTCAGTGTAGGGAGGTATGGCTCCAACACCCCAGAGCACTGGCCTTTATGCAGAGAGGCTGTGGTCCCTCTGAAATGCTTTCGGGACGTCTGGGAGGAATGGGTCCAGTATTACTGCTTAGCCTGAGGTTAATTTCTTAAGGGATTCGCATAAGGCACTGCACAGAGAGCGAGCAGAACCCGTCCCGCCATGGACCAGGGGGAGCAGGCCTCTCTAGGGACTTCTGCGGAGACTCACGGCTGACTACAGCATCACGTTATTGTGGAACATGATGGTCTAGCTCCCCGCCGGCCTTCTGTTTAGGCTGCTTCCCCGACTTGGAAGGCCCGTTTTCCACCGCTCGTACCGGCTCCTGTCTTTCCCGCCAAGGAGCCGTCACAGCAGCTGCTC